GACAACTGCAGACTACGCTTGGTCTGTTGCCACTTGGATTGATGTATTATACTAAGAGGGACTTACCATTATCACAATAAAACACAACTTCAAAATAAGATAGTAAAAATAAAATGGATAAATTAGATGATACTTGATAAATCAAGTTTTATTCTAACCGCCAATTTCAGTCCAGAAGAATGCAGACTGCCAATGAAAAGACTGTAGCTTGAAACCTCGAGTCCGATTTAGGTTAAGTTATACCTCATTAAGAATTTTATTGACGTCATGGCTTTCCTTAATTTTCTGCTAACATAGCTTTATGCTTCTTCATTACTCATGACCATTAATTTTTCAAATCTTGTATAGTCCCTAATAAACTGTCAATAGAACTGCATTCATCCTATTTCGTTTAAGACGAGAAAGGACTGATAATTGAATTTTGCCACAATGCTTGAATTTCATATGGCTTACTCGTATGACTGTGAAATAAGTAAACTACCAATCCTTCATAAGCTTAAATGCAATAGGCTAAATACAGCTCCTATACAGGATCTACTGATACTTTTAAAGTCTACTTATAAATTAAATTTGCATAACCTTTGACTAACCAACTTCTCGTAATTCATTCTTTCGCTCTACTTTCTGTATTTAGCCTTACAAGAATATACAACTTGCCTTCGTATTTACCAGATTTTCTTGTACTTGAGAGCTCGGTTTTGCCGCGAAAGCGTTCATGAGGAATTCTGACTAGAATGTTACTATGACTCCTGGAATTAGCTCAGAATCCTAGGCTTTCTCTCACTAAGACTGCAGACATGTCAAGGATTTGGTATATTTGAAGTGAACCTGGTTGGATCTGAATATAATCTTAAGGAATTTATGATTTTTTAAATCGAATATTTTGTGAAAAAAATGGTGAACACATAACTTTATCGGAAACTGGAGGAAGATTGTTTTTGCGCTGGGACTGCCACTTTGAGGGGAGAAGTTCTTGGCAAGCCGTCCTAAGATTGTGCTGACTTTATGCTGAGCTTGCATCTGTCCTGTTGTGTCATGCATGTGCCGAGCATGGAGCCACTCTTTAGGAAAACTCCACTTGATATGAACTATAGAATGGTGGCCGGTTGTGATCATACCCAACCTGGCCCACTTACTGAGGTATTGCATTATTTTATTGGCTATTTCACGTTTGCCCTACATGTGTGAAGGTGAGTAAAATGACTATTGACAACGTGTGAAGTGATTTCAACCTAAACTTTGACAACTCTTCAAAATCGGCTGAATTTTTTTGATCCTAAAATATTGCTCGTGAAGCAATACTGACACATAGGTACTATTAAAACTACTAATAGATCTTGAATAAGACCAGTCTGTGAATTTCCCACAAGGAAGTGATTAGGCATCTCAGTTTCCCAAAGTCCTTAGTTCAATTTTGTGAATATTGCCATCAAGCGCGAAACCATTTGTTCCCAGCAATTTTCTACTTTATATTAAATGCCTTATTCTATTTACTTTGAGGGAATAAAGGACTAGTAGTTGAATTTTCCTATTATGTCATGTGTAGACCTTAGGTTTCCATTAAATTTCACATAGCCTTGCTTCACAATAGGTATTTTCATACAGGCATGAGTGGACTACGGTTTCTACCTCATCAAGATCTTATCAACGTCCCCAACGAGACTCGAACCATGATGGTGTAGCGTAAAAATTCAAAATGTTTCCCACTAGGCCAGACCGCCACGATGGCCCAAGGGTCGCAGAACATATGTGAATTTCCCACTCTCTTGGGTGGGAGTGTCGTATTTGCTATAGCACTCGACTGTACCATTTATTTTCCGTTTATAAGTAGGTTTTCGAGAATAGCAGTAGAGCTTATATTTGAGATTCATTCATCCTATTTCGTTGAAGGTAATAAGGTGGCTGGTAGTTGCGTTTTCCCACAATGCTATGACTAGATCTTACTTTTACATTAAATAGTCTTGATTTCCCTAAAAGTATGCTCATTCATATCATTTTGTGAGAATTCAACCAAATAGGGTGAACACATCTTATATATATGATCTAATAGTAGTATCGACAACCTACTTATAGATAAAAATATCCTTATTATTGTTCAGTAGATCTTCACCACATAGACGACAACAGACAAAAACAAATGTATGAACTTTCACTTGCCTCTTCAAACCTAGGTCTGTTAAATATCATATTACCCTACAGAGCCAATGTCGTTGTTTTAGTTAACTTCGAAATACAGCCCCACATGGAATCCACTTATGTCTTCCCATCACGTGAGTCATTAGCAAGAGGTACTTGTCTGGATGTATCAGCTTAAAATGCTATTCCAAACTAGTTTATGTGCCTGAATTTTTCAAGTTGGGATCATTCTTCTCTCCCTAACCTCCATTCTTTCCTCGTCTCTCCAGACCATCCTCCCCGCAGATGCGCAGGCCTGAATCTGCTACCCCGGAAACGGGGATCAAAGATCCTGTTTTAGTAGACTTTGAGTATGGTGGCACCACTTCGGCCCTGGCAACTGGATGGAACATTTCCAATTTTATTCAAGGAGTCGGTATATTGGGCATACCTTACGCTTGCGCCAACACCGGCTGGCTGATCGCAATTGTCTCAATCCTGGGCGTGGCCGCGCTCACCTGCTACACGTGTCTGCTTATTTCCGATTGCCTCTACTTGCCAAGCCAAGTTAGACGCGATTTTTCGTATGTACTACATTTTACGCATTATTCTTTCATTATAGGCCTGACAACGAAATGTAGGTCTATCATGGAGACGAAATCCTCATCCTGGTCTGCTATTCAAGCCTATTTGGCAAAATGCAAAGGGATACATACAGAATGCATAGTCTATA